ACTCGCTGTGGCCCAGGCTGGTCTCGAACTCACAAGGATCCTCCTGCCTCAGCCTCCCGAGTGCTGGGATTACAGGTGTGCTCCACCAAGCCTGGCTTGTGCGGTTTTTGTTATGTTTCCCTCTGTTTCTTTTTTTTTGAAAACATCTGGTAATGAGAAAAAAATTTTTGTTTTGCTGTGAAGATTCTGGAATTGTTTTTACTTATCATGATTGCTAGATTACAAAGAGTAATACTAACTGAATTCCGATGAAATATTTTTACTGTTTCTATATGAAATGTACAAATTTCTAGGGAGGTGGTGGCCACGGTGCCTCTTATTACCTTGCATAAAATACTTGAACACTTTCATCTATGTTGCCATTGTCTGCTCAACGCTCCCAGTATATTTTCTCAAAGTCTCCTTTCCTAACATGGTGTGGGGTGACATAACTAATAAGCAGTAAAGTCTGAATTGCAAAACAACAGAAACACCACAGGTACACTGCAAATATTCTATACCGTTACCTTCACTTGGAGTATAAGGTATACATGAAATAGAAATGAATTTCATAATTAGACATGGGTCTCACTGCCAAGAAATCTCATGATACTGTCATGCAAATATTCTAAAATCCAAACACATAGAAAACCGGGAACGTATCCAGTGTGTGCAATTGGGTAAGGGATACTCAACCTGTACTATAAAATTTTGGTTGTTGCTGGGCATGATGGCGCACGCCTGTAATCCCAGCACTCGGGAGGCTGAGGCAGGAGGATCGCTGTGAGTTTGAGACCAGCCTGGGCTACACAGTTCCAGGTCAGTCTCAACTACACAGTGAGACCCTGTCTCAAAAAAACCAAAAAATAAAATAAAATTTTGGTTGTCGTTATTTTTCTAACTTAACAGAATACCTTAGAAGCCACTCTGGTGCAGTTCATATAAAGCTTCCTCGTTTTCCCCCAGCTGCCTCGTTCCCCAGTCTTGTTTACTTCTGCGTTCAGGTATTCTGGTAGTTTCCAGCTTTTGGCAATTTCAGACAGTGCTGCAGTGAGTAAACTTGTGTATGTTTCTGTTACTGTCGTCCGTATGAATCTTCAGGATGGGTTCCTAGGTATGGGGTTGTTTGGTCGAAAGGCAGGGATACATCTAGTTTTCTTTGATGCTGGTCATTTCACTGCCACATGGCCGTACCCATTTATACTCTCGTTATTCTAAGGTTTCCACTTCTCACTGCCTTGCCAACAAGATGATTACCCACCTTTTTAACTTGCCAGTCTCCTGGGTGAAAAAATAGAGTAATTTCACTTTGCATTTCTCTTAAACTTTGAGACAAGTTGAACCATTTTTCACATGCGGGGGCCACTTCTCTGTCATTGGGAGGGACTTGTTCCTTGTGTTTCTACTAATTTTTCTACTAGAGTTCTGGTCTCTTTCCTTCAAATCCCTTTGTATGAGGGGCAGTAGCTCTTTGTTCATTGTCCCACACTGAATCAAAAATATGTCCCAAAGGCTCATGTGCTCCAGAATGCCAGCCACAGGCTGGATGAGCCTGGATGAATCCACTGATGAATTCGCAGATGGATGTGCTGTTGGGATTCAGGGCCCGGTTGAGGATGTAGGTCTCTGAGAATGTAGGCCTTTGAAGGGTATGTCCTGTCTGCAGCTGCTTCTGCCCCCCTCAGTGTCTGTCTCTTTTCCTCTCTCTTTGCTTCTGGCTGCCGTGAGGTGGGCAGCTTTCCTTTGCCCTGCCCCTCTACCACGATGCTCTCTCTGCCTTGGAGCCAGCCCGCCATGCACTGAATCCCCAACCACAATTAACCCTTCTTCCTTTAAGTGATGGCTGTCAGGTATTTTGTTACAGCAACAGAAAGCTGTAAGGACAAATTTTATTTATTGCCCTTTGCCGTGCACGGTCTCCTAATTAATTTGGCTCGATCCGCTAAAAGAACGTCCACCAGCCTCAAATAAGTGCAAAAGGGAAAGTTTATTGAAGGATATGCGCATACAGAAAATGAAAGTAAGAATGGAGAGGACAAAGAAAGAGGGGAGTCCTCTAACAGCAAGAGGGACTCTATCCGAGAAAGTAAGAATGGAGAGGACAAAGGAAGAGGGAAGTCCTGTAACAGCAAGAGGGACTCTATCCGGGAAATTACCCGTAGGCTCTCTGGCAACAACACCGGAATGTTGGAGGAATTAGGTCCATCACTCGCAACACAGCACGGGTCTTTTCAGCAGTCCCTTCGGCTACAAGTCTCAATCCTGGGCGTAATACAGCAGCAGCAGCCTGGGCTAGGCGGGCTGTTTATATAGCTCTCTAGACAAAGGCAGTAAATCTATCTGTACTTTTGGCGCGGAAAAAGGTGAATGTGCTTGCAGTCACGTCCCAACCGGGCCCTGGCCAGGGGTCCGGGAGGGGCGGAATGCATCACATTCCTTATCTTGATGTTAAGAACATCTGGTCTTTTTAACAAAGTCCTCCCTGTTTTTTCCCAGGGAACTGGCCAGGTATCCAGGGAAAGAAGAGGTGAACCAGTGATTACGCGCCTTAGAGAGCCGAAAGCCTTAACCCCAAGCCTTTCCAATTTAAAGTTTTAACTTTCCTTACAAAAGCTGACCAATACCTCCAGGATATATGTTGCAAACACTTCCTCCCAGTTTTTAATTTGTCTTTGGATCTTGTGGTGAACTTTTTGCCATAGAAATTTTGGTTGTTTTTATGTAGTAAAATTTGTCAGTCTTGTTTTGCTTCTAGACTTTGAGTCATAGATAACATTTTCCTGCACTTTGGTCAAAGAGATATTCACTCATGAATTCTTAGTTCTCTTATTATTTTGTTTTTTGCATTTGGGTTTCTGAAACATCTAGAGTCTATTTTGGATGGAGTTATAGATACAGTTTGGTCCCTTTCCTAATGGCTATCTAGTTGTCTGAGCAGCTATTATTCACAAAGTCAGTTTTGACCTGATTTCTATATGTACTTTGTCTATACCCAGACTTTTTTCTTCTTTGTGCTTGGAATTGAACCCATGCTAAGCAAGTCTACTATTGAGCTATGTCTCAAGCTCTACCCCGCTTTTAAGTTTTAAGATATGGTGCCACTAAGTTGGCCAGGCTAGCCTGGGGCTTATAATTTGTATCTTAATATCTGGTAGAGTTAGACCCCTCTGGCAACTTTTTTTTCAGGCAGGTACTTCTAGATTGAGGGGGGTAGGTGTTTTGGGTTTTTTTGTACTAGGGTTTGAACTCAGGACCTTGTGCTTGTGAGGTAGGCACGGTGCCACTGAAATGAAACTCAGGCCCATTCCATGATATTCTTACGTGTTCACTCTTCCACATGGATTTCAGGGTCAGTTTATGGTCTAACAAATAATGTTTTGACATTTTTATAGGAATTACATTCCATCTATAAATTAACTTGGAGAAAATGACACATTCATTACATTGAGTCATCTTTTCCAAGAACAAAAGACTGTTCAAATCTGTTTTCCGTGAACGTTTCCTGCCGGAATATTCCACTTTGGACCCAGGGTACCCAGCCCAGTGGGGCTCAGCCTTTTCACGGAAGCTGAGTTTAGTGAAGACCTGGATGTGGGGAAGACCCCTGACTGAGGCTGCTCGTTTTCTCTTCCTCCCTGACTAGCTGTGGTGCCCACACCCGGCGCTGTGGCGACTGGTGATAAAGTGGGGTGAAGTCGCACAGCTAAGAAGGGGCACAGCCCGAAGAAGCCCCAGGGACGCACGCTCCCTCACAGGGGGGGACACAGCCACCTCCTTGTCCGTCGCAGGCGCTGCAGAAAGGCCAGGACCCCTCTCTGCTCGTCCTAGGGTTCCCAGTCCGGTCTGCGTGGCTTCACGTGGACAGCGCCCACTGTGTGCGCGGACGCGTGGCTCTGCCCGGGGGAGGACCGGGCAGGAACGAGCCCCTCGGAGGCCGGAGACTGGAGCCACTTGGCCAGGTCGCATCACCTTGGCTGTCCTCCTCTGACAATGCAGTGAAGATGAACTGGCCCCCTAGTGTTTACAGGAACAGGGCGAAGCACCACTGGATCTGGGGTCTGGTGCTGGGTCCCTGGGGGAGGCGTACCCTAGCTTCAGCCCCATCCCGCTGCACAGAGCCTCCCCTAGGCCAGCTCTGAACCTGTGGCCGCTGCTTCCCCTGTCCCGCCCAGGCCGCACCTGTTGGGGTGGGGCTCTGATCCGCCTGCGCACAGCTGTCTTGCCCTGCGCTACGGCTCCTCCTCTGGGGAAATCACCCGCAGCAGCACGACAGGTCGCCTTGCCTCCAAACGCATCCCCAAGCAGGGCCTTCCTCCCACATCCAAGACTCCCAGACAGCCGAGGCCGCAGGGGCTGTGTGAAACTTCCTGCCACCCGCCTGGGGAGCTGGGGAGCTGGGGAGCTGGGCAGCAGGGAACCGCAAGCATCTGGCGCCCGCTGCCGCCGCCTGCCGTCCAGAGCTGCCACTGCACCCTGTCGGAGCAAAGCAAAGCCCGGGCCCATTTGTACCCTGAGCCTAAATCCATTGTTGTTTGTTTTTTGTTTTGTTTTTGCCCTTCCACCTCTTACCGAGTGCTCTTCTGTTTAGAATCTTGAGTTCTTTTGGGTTCCAGTGTCCAAATCCTGGAGATTTGGTTCAAAGGTTAAGATGAACTGAACTGGCTTTCGCATAGCTCAAATTCTCACCGTGGGGAGTTGGTATGCGATGCTGCACGCCTGTAATCTCAGTCCTCGGGTGGCTGAGGCAGGAGCATCTTGAACTCGAGGTCAGACTGGTCTACATAATGTGACCCTGTCTTCCAAAAAGAAACCTCATCGTGGGGTTTGAGCAAGAAATGGGAGGATGGAAGAATGAAAGGGAAAGAAAAACCTGCTGTGTTGGGCTATTTACAGTCATTTTAAAAATCCTTGTGAAATGGATACCTTAAAAGCCACTTAAGGCCAGAAGAGTGGCCTAAGGAAATGCATAAAGGATACGATTGTAACTGTCACACAAATATAAAATGGACACGTGTCAACTATTTTATTTATTCATTAATGAAAGAACCAGAAAGAAGTAAAAACTGGTTTGGCAGAGAACTCCAGCCACAGACACACGTTTAGGCATTAAGGGTCAGGAGAATGAATTCTCTAGTCTGTGCCAGACTGGTGACCATCCCTGGAGCTATGAGATCTTCACTGTACCAGATTTATTTGCATCTTCATGGGCAGGAATCATGTGCTTTACTCTGTTTTCTACAAGACATAGAGCTGTCAAATAACTCAGAGAACAAGGAAAAGTGCAGCACTTTTAGAATCAGGTGATCACTGGAAGGAGCGTCAGATAACACCAAGATTTATGATGTCAAAGGAGAAGATCTGGAATTCTCCCTCAGTGTAGAAGTCTCCATGTTCTGCTCTTTCCTCTGCACCGTGTCACTTTTGGACAGTACAGAGTGCTTTTTAAAATAATGTGGGGATTTAGCTCAGTGGTTCCACTGCCTGCCTGCCAGGCGCAAGGTCCCGAGTTCCATCCCTGGCCCAAAAGAAAGAAAGAAAAAAAAATCCCTGGTCCTGGGAATCTCCATCAGAGCCTGCAGCAACTTCCCAAAGGACCCCAACTGCTTGGCACCTTGAGGGAGTTTTTTCTCCTTCACAGGTGTTCCCTGGAGGCTGGAAGGCTGGTCCAAGCCCTGGGCAAATGGCAGAGGAGCCTCGAGACTCCTACAGCACCTCGTGTTTTGAAGGAGGCCGAGGAAGAGACTGCCGCAGCCCAGGTGGCAGTCAGTTCTTTGCTGTGGCAGTCTGGGGGCGCTGGTACAGCCAGATGATGCCCTCATTGTGTAGCCGCTTCCAGACCTCTCTCTCTAACTTGAAGTCATGGTTGATGTAAAAGATGAGTGGTTTCCATGTTTTATCGTAATAATGATCAGAAAAGCGCTCGTGGCCCTCGGTGATGAAGCCATAGGCGCTCACCTAGGTGGAGGGTGGAGGACAAATGGGGCTGCGGAGTCTTCTCCCAGGTGTCTTCTCACGGGCTAACGCTCCTGTGGGTCCAGGTGCAGGTCCTGGCTGCACGTGTGTGCGCTACCCCAGCCCCAGGAGTGCACCAGCCCGGTCACCTGACCTAGGAGTAGCCCCAGCTACTCCCCCAGCTCGTCCCCGCTCCGGAGGCACAGCCTTACCTTGTCACAGAGCTGAAGGGCAGTGAGCAGCAGGAGGGCGCCGGTGGTGGGCCGGTATATCCTCCAGTGGGCCGTGTTCAGGGTCTTTGACCTCAGAAACCTATAAAATGCCCCAGATCCCAGCTGTTGGGAATCTGCTGGGATGAGAGGGATGAGGTGATTCCCTGGCTTTCTGCTCTCACCTGTTCTTCATGTAGCGGAGAAAGTCTGGGTGTAGCAGCAGGTATCTGTTCAATTGCAAGCCTTCCCGAAAAGCTTCCTGGGGCCTGCGCCTGTGAGTAGGGATGGGTCACTGGGGCTCAGTTCTCTTAGCTGGCCTGAGAGCTCCAAGTCGAGGTCCCGGGCAGAACACGTCCATCACCAGGTGCTGGCCAAGGCTGGCCCCACCTGTCCAACCCTTTGTAGCCACTCAGTTCACAGTGCAGCCCGGGGTGAGGGCATGGAAGGAGGAAAGGGGGTACCTGAACCAGAAAAGGCTCTTTTTTGCCAGGGTCTGATTGAGAAGCAATGCTTCCAGCCACTCGAAGTCCCGGGCGCCCTCGAGGAAGTGTAGGTAGTGGACGTCCTGAAGATGAAGGACAGCAAGGCCCGGGAGGCTGGGCGGCCGGCTTGCTGACCCTGGCCTGGTCTGGCCGCCCTCACGGCGACAG